ACTGTAAAATACTTAATTTTTGATGAAAAGTCTTTTGAGGTGTTTTGTAATGAATTTAATTTCACTGTGTTGAATGTAAAATATAGAGAAAAGTTATTTTCACTGAATCATTCCTTCAGGGAAAATAGGTAAAATTAATTCTAAGTGAAAATAAAGTATTTTACAGCAGTTAGACATTTGAAAATAGCATTTTTTACCAAAAATATTAAAGAATATTGAAAATTAGAAAAATGAATATATCATCACAAAATGTTATCAAAAAAAAGCTTAGAAAGAACTCTCATGTTCTGAAGGTATTGAACAACATGAAGTACAAATAAGGAATACTGTATTTACTATATATTTACAGTTAGCACATGTGAATCTATTAGAGCAAATAAACTATTTAAAAATATACCTGCAAGCAATGATCAGGATAGTCCTAAGTAACTATGATTTAATAATTACAAATAGTGAATGAAATAATGACCATATATTACCCCAGAGCATCTATGTTCCAAGTTTCATTAAAATCTGATTATTATCTATTCCTGGTAACCATCCTGACTCCATCCACATATCCCTTCTTGGCTACCATCGTCACTCTCCCCACATATCCCTTCTTGACTACCATCATGACTCTACCCACATATCCTTTCTTGGCTACCATCTTCACTCTCCCCACATATCCCTCCTTGGCTACCATCCTCACTTTCCCCACATATCCCTTCTTGACTACCATCATGACTCTCTCCACACATCCCTTCTTGACTACCATCCTCACTTTCTCCACATATCCCTTTTTGACTACCATCCTGACTCTCCCCACATATCCCTTCTTGACTACCATCCTGACTCTCCCCACATATCCCTTCTTGACTACCATCCTCACTCTCCCCACATATCCCTTCTTGACTACCATCCTCACTCTCCCCATATATCCCTTCTTGACTACCATCCTCACTTTCCCCACATATCCCTTTTTGACTACCATCCTCACTCTCACCACATATCCCTTCTTGACTACCATCCTGACTCTCCCCACATATCCCTTCTTGACTACCATCCTGACTCTCCCCACATATCCCTTCTTGACTACCATCCTCACTCTCCCCACATATCCCTTCTTGACTACCATCCTCACTCTCCCCATATATCCCTTTTTGACTACCATCCTGGTTCCACCCACATATCCCTTCTCGACTACCATCCTGGTTCCACCCACATATCCCTTCCTGTCTATCATTCAAAGCATCCTGAATTGAATTTTGTAAGCTGACATATTGTTATACACTAAACCTACCTAACTATAGTGTTTATACCAGCTTGTTGGCATTGCTGAATACCAAGGAGAACTGTGTCAATGTATTGCCTTTTTGTCATACCTATAACAGACAATGGTGACCATGCATATTAGTAAAATTGAAAAAAAAACACATTACATTATAAACTTAAAAGCATATATACAGGTTCCTGGCATACTAGGACAATAATTTCACTTCAAATTTACAAGATTCAAATTAATAATAAAATAGGTAATTCAATAAGTAACAGAATTTTCCTCATCTGAAAATATTTCCAGAAACTATACATTTATAGTCTGTGCACACAACTAATTCTTTGGCATTTCATATTCTTTCACAACATAACTATGGCAACATGCGTGTTTACATAAAGCTGGGTTAAGACACATTTCCAACTGAAAAACAAACAAACTTGTGAATCACTGCAAGTTATACCACAATGTCATAATGTCAGTATTTCATCTATCAACCCTATCGTACATGAATTTTAGAAGGACACTGCCAACACTCATTTGACATTTCCTGTTAAAAATGTGAAAAAAATTTGAAAAACTGAATTATTAATTTTATTTGTACATGTACAGACCATATGCAAACTTTTATTTTTAAAAGTGAGTATGATTGTCATCCATAATTTCAACTTATTCTTTGTGTTATTTACCAATGTTACTAACATGAGAAATAATCATGTAGATTACTATACTGTTATATATGGTGGTTTTAAATGTGAGCATTAAGCCAGCTTTAAGTTAGGTAAATGTTAAGATGCATTCAGACCAAAGTATGACTAACTCAAATTCTATATGGCTGTGTGTAAAACTCAAAGCTGTAAGGCATACAATATTATTATTATTTCTACGAAAACAAAATAGGTATAAATGTATAGTCCCAATTTTTATTTATTTTTCATTTATTTGTTGAAACATGCAATGCTAATACATATTCTAACATGTTTGCTGAGTCCATCTTTAATAAAGGGCGATGCTAGTGATATTCATGTAAAAGTGAATTGAAAGGCATTAGCCAAAGATCAAAGACCCACAGATGAAGCTACATTTTTGTATAACATAGCTACCTGTAGTCGGTACATCTCTTGGTGTGCTTCTCAACTCTAAATAATAAACACCATCATCATTGAATTCTTCTATAACATCTTTGATTACCATGGCAACTGCATCAATATTGTCTACTAGTTTATGTATCATGCCAAATATCTGGAAACACCTACCAATAAAAATAAATAAAATGTCATCATCAGTGTTCAGAAATAAAACATATAAGTATTATGACAGAACCTCATGAATTCACTCTGATGATTGTGATTTTCAAGAGTCATGCTGTGTATTTTGTCTGTGGCCGTATTTTAATGAGAAAATCCAGTGGAAATACAGCATGGACACACTGCATCAAAGGTGTGATTTGAATACCAGTCATTAAGTAATATAATAATTTGCATATGACCAGTTAAAATTGTTCGACTTGTTTGTTTTACCAATTTGTTTTTCCGGTTGTTTTACCAATTTGTTTTACCGATTGTTTTACCAATTTGTTTTACCGATTGTTTCACCAATTTTTTTGCTTATTTTGCTTATATGCATAGCAACAGTAGAAACACTGATTGTATTTTCAGCAGTGCAACAAAATAGACTAGTACAAATGTGATAATGAATATCTGAAATGACACTATTATGGTAAATGCATAAATAAGGCTTAGCAATAAGTTGTGGAGTTGTTGAAAGTCTGGTGAGAATTCACAGGCACAAGAGTAAATACCAGGACTTGACAAAACAATAATCTTGTCTTCGATTTTGGCATACACCCATACAGCATATGAATGAACAGAGAACAGTGCATGTTATGTAGTATAAACAACACCTGTGTATTCTGTCTTAGTATCCCCTTAATCCCAGCAATGTCCATATTCAAGCATTGATTGAGTGAGTAAATACTTTACTGTTTCATGGTGATTCGAAAAATACAATAACTCAAGAGCAGGATTTTGCATTTTATGGAAATTAAGTAAATTCAATCCTCATGTTTCTGTCACTCTGGATAAATACTCTGCACAGAATATCTTGGTAATTCAGATAGCGAGAACTCTGTCTACAACACAGAATATCGAGGTAATCCAGATAGCGAGAACTCTATCTGCAATACAGAATATCGTGGTAATTCAGATAGCGAGAACTCTGTCTGCAACACAGAATATCGTGGTAATTCAGATAGCGAGAACTCTGTCTGCAATACAGAATATCGTGGTAATTCAGATAGCGAGAACTCTGTCTGCAATACAGAATATTGGTAATTCAGATAGCAAGAACTCTGTCTGCAATACAGAATATTGTGATAATTAGAAAAAAATTAATCTCTATACTCACTCCTCCATGGTTCTGTTTTCACCTTTCGTCATAGCAACCATACATTTATCTATATAATGATTCTGCTTGTGAGATTCATTATAGTCTTTATAGAGTTTATTCATTGTCTTCACACTAATAGACCCATTCAAATGTGCGTGTAACTCCTAAATGAACATCAGTAATATCAAACATGTGGTTGGAATTTGGTTAGCATGTGGTTGGAATTTGGTTAGCATGTGGTTGGAATTTGGTTAGCATGTGGTTGGAATTTGGTTAGCATGTGGTTGGAATTTGGTTAGCATGTGGTTGGAATTTGGTTAGCATGTGGCTGGCATGTTCACCTTGTTTCAGGGATTGAAGATTGTAGGTTTGATTTTTGGACCCAACTGTTTACACAGCAGTATAGTTTACGCAGGAGTACAGTCTGTGCTGCACTTGCAATTAGTACCAAAACAAATCAAAGAAAGCTTAGTACTCCTGTGTGCTGAGAATATTGAAGACACATTAAAATTAATTCAAAATTTTAGATTTGCTTTCAAACGAGAAGCTTGGCAACTAATTTTTGAGATGCATAACATAAAAAAATGTGATTCACATTACAAACATTTATAATACATATAGTCTAGTTTATTCCAGAGCACCTCTGCGATGAATTCAATTTAAATTTGATTTTTGTAGATATCAGAAATAGGCTAATAATAGATAAATCAATATGTATGTTTATCAACATTAAACTAATCATGTCTGTGGACTACCTCAATGAACCAAATGTATTATTATACAAATTAAGCAATTATTATGCATAGATTTAGGTATGTATATTGTTTCAGGGTGCCCATGTACAAAGTTTCATTATAATGTGATGATTAATCCTAACTAAACTAGTGAAAAGCTGAAAAGTAAATTATTATGCAAATTAGGTAATTATTATAGATGTATATAAACCTAAAACTAATTTGATCATCACATTGTGTTAGAGTACATATGTACCAAGATTCATTAAATTAAGATAAGTACTGTCACAGACCATCTATGTACGAAGTTTTATTGTGATTATTTATGTGATTAGAACCAAAATTATGATTTATTATGCAAAACTAATTAGGTCTTTGGATTGTTCTAGAGCATCTATGTACGAAGTTTCATTGAAAAATAATGAACTAATAGTACTTGAAATATCAAAAGCTGAAAAATGATTAATTATGCAAATTAGGTAATTAATATTTCACATATCTGTCTGTTCATCGTCCTATGTATCTATGTAAGTTTCATTGAAATGTGATGATTAGGACCTGAGATATCAGTGGAAAAGCCAAAAATTGACAAATCATTATGCAAATTAGGTTAATTATATGCATGGATTTTTACCCAAAACTAATCACATCTGTGCATTGATCCAGAGCATCTATGTACCAAGTTTCATCAAAATCTAATGAATAGCTCTTCAGATATCAGTGGAAGAGTCAAGGAACAGCTAAAAATTAGCTAATTATCATGCAAATCGGGTAATTAATATGCATGGATTTCAACCAAAACCGAATCAAATCTGCGCATTTCATTAAAATCCAACATACAGTTCTTGAGATATCCGTGGAACGGACACACACACATACATACACACATACATATACACACACATACAGACAGGGTAACTGCAAAGACTCTCATTGTGTGCGTAAAAAATGTCTAGAGAGACAATAATGACTTGAAACAGAACAATTATTAAAATTATTAATTATTATTCCATAAATATTTGATTTGATGGCATCTGCCACATCAAACAACATAACAATATTATATATATATTTTTGTGGTGAATGATTCTAGCTGATTTAATCAATTGTGGCTGAATGCATTAACTGATAATGTAGAATAATTCCTATGAGATGAAAGGCACTGGGAAACATAAATTATATGCAACCACTGAAAATAAAAAGTAGAATTATACTTGACTGAAAATATTTATATATTCATATTTATTCTATTCAATAAAATAATCATCAAAATTACAAATAAACAAAAATTATAGATATATTACCAACTAAGAAACCTGGGATGCTAATAAGATAATCATGGTAAATATAATATAGAATAAAAAAACATGAAAGTCCCTGTGAAATGCCCACCCACACATTTTGGATTTGTGTCCCACTGAAATTGGCAGTTATTGATATTTTGTTTGAAAATGGTTACTTGTACCCAAGTGAATGAGATATTTCTTGTGTTGTAGCCACTCCCACCTATCCTGAAACAGTAGACTGTTTCCGGCTTTCCGACTTTAGGCAAAAGTAAAAGGGCGCCACCAAATGCCAAAATATTAGAGGAAGCCATACTCTTGCACAATACTTGTATAATACTGCATGATTTAACGAGAATGTACGCGTATGCAAATGATTCTAAGGTGTGACATCAGTACACAAAAGCCGTAAAATCAATGAGAAAAAATTGGGATGGACATTCTCCTTATACCGCCATACTGCAAATTGTTACGCCAAACATTTGTCCTTATTTATAAAAGAACAACTTGGTTTTAAAGACAAGAGCCAACAAGTTAAACCTGGCACAGTACTAACACTTTTTAAGAAACCAGATTCCGGACCAGCCCATGTTCACAGTACCAAGTTTCAAAGAGAGACAATTGTTGGGTAAGTATTTCAAATGTTTTGTAGAGGCTGTGTAGTTTATGTTATGTAAGAGGTTGCCATGACATGACGCAAAAACCGATGCGTCGACCAAACAGGAAAATATGCAGAACTCGCACGTTTGTAATTGTTTTTTAATTTACCTGAAGTGTTTGATGATTGATGTTGAATGACGACTTCACACTAATGTGATGTTTTCTCGCAATTTGATCTGCGTAATAAGTGGGCTGTCAATTTTTTGCGAACACATATTTTTAATGTGATGTTTGACAATCACAATAACTCGAATTTTTGCTGTGTTTCGCTCTCAATTATTTCTATTTCATGCACTTTTCCTTGAAGTGACCCAATGCGTTCACCCATTTCAACAGAATGTCAATTCACTTGTACGCGGCTATCATTTAGTAACTGTGATTTACGAATCATCGACTCATTATATCATTTTTTTATTATTTTTCTATATCATTGATCGCTAATAGTTCAATGTTTAGAATGTTGAAATATTTTCCCTTTTCTTTGAATTTTGAATTTTTTTCTTCACTTTATAGATGATTGATGGAATACATCAGTGTATGAACATACCCAGTAACCTGACAATAACTAGAAGACAAGCACTTCAACCGACTTCATCGACCACAATACAAATGACTATGATTGTGCAGTACACAATTGATCACGGTAACCAGCTACGCCAGAGAAGAGACATTTTTCGTATCTAACTCAACCCTAGACAATAAACTTGATATGTGTTTTTTATGTACATGAGTAGCAATTTAGTCAAAGATGAGAAAATTGAATAAGACATGTGCCTTTATATATACATTATCGGCAATGCACGCTGGCCAGCAAGTTGCCCTTCATACCTCACAAGGGATATTTGAGTATGCAAATGAGAAGTTAATGAGGAGCCTCGTTTTAAAATACATAAAAATAAAATTGGCGTAGATTGAGTTTGAAACCCTTTTTTTCACTTTAAATATTTTACACTTAATAACTTATAAAATAATAAAACTGATGTACCAATAAATGATTTGGGGCTAGAAAATAGCAGGCATTTCATAGGCACTTTAAGATGAGATTATGTTACAGACAACCTCTCTAATTAGTTGACCACATCTGTCACACGATTTGCAGGTATTTGCTGTCAAATATGGTTTTGGGTAATTAATACATCTATAATGGAAATAAAAAGTGCTGTTTCTCTTTCTACATGTGATTTTAATTAATTGTCAGTAAAAACCATAGTCATTTTATTATCATGTATTTTACACTCATTGTATATATGTTGTATGGGACGCATAAATCATCATTGAGACAGTAATGTAAGGTGATTGTCTCGTTCATTCTAAAAGAATGGTTTGAAATTTCCCCATTTCAAGAATTAATATAGATACTTTACTCTTATATTGCTCCATTAAACTAAACAAATTTGGCAGAGAGCACCCAGAAGTTCTAATCACATAATAATCTTGACAAGTGTATCACAAACTAGTCAGTACTTTAGCTGACAATGTTACTGTTATTATGTACAAAACAATATGCCAGCCACAGTAAATGAATCAGAGAGTAACCAATGGTAACAAAAATATATAAGCATTCTAGCAAACATTTTCAATAGTAGTCAGAAATATTTAGAAACCAATATCAACATCACAATGCTCATTTGCATAATACTGAAAGTCCTGTGAACACTGTCTATTCCAGGAATTATCAGCTGTAATAATGACAAGACCTTCTGACCTGAATATTTTGTAATTGCTATATTTGTTATGTCTTATATTCAATCAATTGTATTTCTAACTACCTATGCCATCACATCACTACAGTGGATGATAGTGAAGGTTCCATTGAAATGAGTAAGGTTATTACCATATTCAAACACATTTACAAATGTATGTACATGAACACTAGAAAAAACATTCCTAGATGAACACTAACCAATGCTTTTACAGAATCACCCACTTGTATTAGTATTTCTAGAAACATGTACAGTTGTTTTTTCTTGCAATGTTGTGTGAGTAGGATTTCTAAATATAACTCTCATCATATGCTAATTTACCAAATTCAAAATTTTATATTTGATATTGGACATCCAAACTAGTCTTGATTCATGGTGTTGATGAGCTCATTTGTGCCACCATCCTTATCTAATTTCAGTAGTACCTATATATGTAATATCAAAGCAA